CTGGTTGTATCTGATTAATAACCGTCTGATTCCGTCCTCCAATACTACGGAGGTAAATGGGCCCCGAGCTGCTTTGATTTGGTGCTTCATCAATGGTCTTGACTTCGATGTGGCCAGAGTGATGCACGAGGAAATGTTCATCCGCTGACCAGTTAAAAGGTATGGTTTCTTTTTCCCTTCTTTAGTTACTCAGCTTTGCAGGCAAGCTCGGGTGCCCGAAAATCTACCTGTGGATGGGCTAGTACCAAAAGACCGCAAGTTCCGGGCTAACAAGGTAACCACGGGTAAGGAGCCAGCGGCAGCAGGTGGGGATGATAGTAGTGGCTCTGATGACTCGGAGGAAGAGGAGGCCGAGTAGGAGGACGTGGGGGCCGAAACACAGGCCCATGAGCCCAGTGCAGCAGCTGCAGCACCGTCCGGGACGGCAACATCTTCTGGAGCTGCCCGAGTGTCCCATTTCACCGCTTTGGAGCAGGAGGTGGCCGGGTTGCGTTCCTCCGTGACTGATTTGGGTACCCGCGTAGACGCGGTGGCTGACCGGCAGGTAAAGTCGGAGAAGAAATTTTTAGGCTGGCTGAGAGCTCTGGGTCGTGCTTTCCATGTGAACCCAGACACCGTCTCCGATCAGGAGTGATTTTTTAGGGAAGTTCCTTTACCTCACTGTTCTTTAAATTTTGATGCCATGAGGACATGTCTACATTTTAAGTGTGGGATGGGGGATACTTCAATGTATGTATGTAATTGTACAAATTGACTGTTTGATGTTTCTTTGGTTTGCTTTGATTGTTTTTGGTGTTTTGATTAATAGTTTTCTTAGGTAAGTGGCTTGTTCCGACGACGGATCTCTTTCGGCGGGGTTCTTGAGGGACTAAGTCGGAAAAAAGGGGGAAATATGGAGACTCTTTCTGATGACGGATCCTTTAGACAATTTTCTTGAGGGAAGTAAGTCTAGAGAAAAGACCAAAACGATTTTTTCTTTAGGTAGTGTAGTAACTCCCCCTTGGTTTTTCTTTGGGCCATGGTTCTTTTCCAAGGGGTTTAGCTTGAACCGGGTGTAGGTAGTTTTTGTTAGGTTGTTTTTTAGTTGTTAGTTAGGACTAACGGGCTACGAGCTAAAATCGAAAGAGAACTCATAGCGTTGATACACCTAAACACAATAGACACTAGAGTGCAACGCTTAGTCCCAGTGGTTGATTCTTACTAAAGTGCCTTAAATTGTATCTTTATCACCGACTTGAATGCTCAGAAGAGAATGTCTTGATAAGCCAATCTAGAATGAGTCATATGCCATGTGTGTGTGAGTTTTACTGTATTCCATGATTCACATTTGATGCCTAGAACTTGCCCTGTGTGTTTGCAAAGCGAAATAGTAGTTTCATTCAGTCTGAGAAGTGATAAAGGCATTTCTTTGTTGAGCCAGACATATAAGTAAACCCACCTAATTGTAATACATCTTAGTTAACCCAGTTGAGCCTATAAGCCTGTTGTTTGAACCCTTTTACCTCCCATAAGCACTTGAATGGTATTGAGAGTATGCAAAGGCAAAAGTGTGGGGTGGTGGTTTGGTTTTTGAGTGGAACCATTGAAATCGAGAAAAGGTGCAGAATTGTGAAGCATAAAAGAAGAAGCACCACGAAAAAAAATGTTGTAAATAAATATAGTGGTGTTTTGTTATAATTGCACCTAATGGATGGGGTTGTTGTAAATAAATAAATAAATAAAAAATAATTGGTGGAATATTTGGTTGACATAAGTATGGTTTTGAATGTTAATGTAATTGTATTAAAAAGTGCTTAGGGAGATTAGTCACTATATCCAAATATATCCTACCCCTCCCTTAGCCTACATTACAACCAAGTGAAGTCCTATTGATCTTAGATTGAGTGGGCTCGATTAGTAGAGTAGTATACTACGGGAAAGCCTATGGTGCATCTTTGTGGCATGTGAATGTTCTTTTTGAGAGTGAGCGAATTTTGTCTATCTAAGTTCCTAATTGTTCTAAATATCATTATATGTGGAACTACTCTCTTGTGTGAATGTAAGGGCATGTCATTCATGAAGGAAAGGCAAGTCTTGGCTTCTGTGTAGATTAGCTTGAGAAAGTATGAATATTGCACGGCATGTGAGAGTCGACTTTTGAGGCTAAGATTGTTCACTACTAGGCGTAACTTATGTGATTTGTTCTTGGTGTGATGCGTTAGGGAATAATGCTTAGTGAAGGAACCTCTATAGAGTGTGGTGGATTGCTCGAGGACTAGCAATGATCTAAGTGTGGGGTGTTGATAATAGGCTAGATTTATGTGATTTAGCGATTGTTTATCACCTAGCTTGATTATGTTTCAATGTTATAATATAGTTAAATGATGAAAAATGGGCTCTAATTGTGAATTTCACACGTTGCAGGAGTGAGGAGCTTGTATGAGGCCTTAAAGTTATGATTGGAGCTACATTGAAGCAGGAAAAACCCCTAGGAGCTGAGTACGCGAGAAGACGAGAAAAAGAATAGATGAAATGAAGGCCTGGACTAGCGCGGCCACTAGCGCGGCCACTAGCGCGACCGCGCGAGCCCAGATGGTCGAGGCAGAATGGTAGGCCACTAGCGCGGCCATTAGCGCGCCCACTAGCGCGGCCGCGCTAGCCCAGTTCCGGAATATTAATTTTCAGGGGTAAACTTGGAAGTCTGGGGGTAAATTCACTTAATCTATAGAAGGTCAAGCTCGCCCAAGGATGGATTATCAAGGTTTTCATAGTTTAGTGCAAGAAAAAGAGAGGCAAGAGGCAAGGAGGATAATTCAACATCGAGTTCTTCCTTTCTTCCTTTTGTTTTTACGATTTGTGATGAATTTGAATATTGTTGTGATGAACACTAGCATGAGTAGCTAATTCTTTAGTCTAGGGTTTTGATGGAACCTATTGAAGGATGAACTTCTTGATTATGTTAATATAGTTTGCCAGTTTAATCTCTATTTGTTCAACTACGTGCTTGTTGTAGTTAATTGACAGGATCCTCAATTAGCTATGCCTATTTAGTATGCATAACTCGGGAGAGAGTGCATATTTAGGTAATTGTTGAACAACACCACTCCCAAAGTATAAGAGGGATCTATAACTGCGGGTTTAAAGGCGGGATTAGGGATAACGAAGCCTTGGGTGCAATCTAAAGTGAGCTGTAATAAAAAGCCAGCTAGCATAACTCGGGAGAGAGCATCTAGTAAATTATCGTAATTACTCGGGAGAGATTTACGGTAAGAGGAGCGCTCATGATTGATAGAGATGATTTGGTGATTCTATGTGAAGCATAACCGGAAGGGATTCCATCAATAGGGAAAGTCATAACCTTAGAACCTTCTCTTAATTGTTTACAACTTAATCATAGTTAGTTTTGAGCTGTTTATTTACTGTCATTCGTAGTTAGTAGAAATACCATCAATTGTTATTCACAACGTTTGGGAAGTTGATTCCGTGGAATTTAGTAAGTCTAACGAAAGTAATTGATAGGTTAATTCCTTGTGGGTTCGACTCTGGGCTAAATACTCAGATTATATTTGCAACGTCCGCGTATCCTTTTTATAAGGCATAGTTGGGCGTGATCATAACCCTTTAGAATGGCTACTTGGTATCAGTTCTACTAGATTTTCTTGTCGATCGACATTGAAAATATTGAAGTATACCCGACTTGAAAGATACTCTAGACGGAATTTTGGTATACTAATTACTAATTATCATAATTTCAACTAGCTACTTAAAAAAAATTTTAAATAAAATGATCATCAGACAGAAAAAAAGGTGGATATAAAAGTGTCTTCATACGAAAAAGATGGATAATAATATTTTGAAATTATTGAAAACTAGTTAAGCACATCTTAAACCAAAGTTTTGAATTTTGATAACCCAAAACTTGTTCGGCCTAATGAAATGTGCAGAAATATCCATAAGTATTATGTATACTCAAAGCGACAAAAAGTATTTATTATGTAAAAAAAACTTAATAATGTAGCATAATAAAAAAGCTTTTGTGCGCTAGCTATTAGTTACAAAAAGGGTAAATTCAAAATATTTAGGGAAAATAACACTGTATAGCCACTCTTAAAATACTAATGCTTGCATTAAGGTAGGATGCTACGTTACACCCCCTTGTGTGTGGCCCTTCCCCGGACCCTGCGTAAAGGTGGGATATCTTGTACACCGGGCAGCCTTTGATAGTCACTCTCAAAATAATTTCCGACAAATGTATATTTTTGTATATATACATTTCTCTATTTTATATACAAAAAATATATAATTTTTTTATATTTTTGGGGCTACCAGATGTAAATAATTTCTGTCGCGGGCTAAAAGTGATTTTTTGCCCAAATTTTTATGTAAGTTAAGCGAGGCTATTTAAGAAGCTTTAGTTGTTAGATTTAGAGCCCGTTTGGATTAGCTTGTTTTAAGTGTTTTTAAGCCAAAATCGCTTTTAAGTCATTTTGTAGTGTTTGGATAAGGTAAAAAAGTACTTTTAAGCACTTGTTTTTAAGCTAAAATGACAAAAATAAGCCAAAAGTCAAAAGCTAGAATTCCTAACTTATGGCTTAAAAGCTATTTTGACTTAAAAGTCACTTAAAACAGGTCCATCCAAACGGACTCTTAAGAAGAAATCAAGAAGCTAGTATCTTAGCTGACAACCATATCAATAATCAAAGTGTGAATTTAAATTAATTAATCAAGCATTAACAGAAACCTTAAATTTCGCACACAAAATTCAATTCTATATATGGTGCGAACCAAACTTTATTAGAATCCACTATCCAGTCCATTATGTTGCAAAAAATAGCTGGCAAATTCAACTATACCCAATAAAAGAAATTCCAGCCTTTAATGCAAAGTGAAATAAAAGGGTACTTCTCTACCGTTATACGTACAACTTTTAGGCAGAAAAAAATTATTTTTTCTTCTTTTAACATAGGCGGATAAATCTAAATTTCTGCACGAAATATTGAATTCTTTGACATTGTTGTATGAAAGCAAATGGTATTGTCAGATCAAGATCGAAACTTGCATTGTTTTCTTATGAATAGAGATAAACTGCTATTAAAGAAAACACGTTCTCATAATTATGTATGCATCTCAACTCTAAATGTGGCAAACGGGTAGTTGTTGAAACTATTTAATGCACATCATTAATGTAAGAGCAAGACACTGAAGTTTTACTGCAAGAAAATGCAAGTATATAAAGCCCTTTACCTCTTAATGCCATTTGCTCAAATAAGTTGTCAGAAAACAGAAAAAGGTCACGCAATTCAAAATTATTCCTTGAAGATGATAGGTCGAGGATTGAGGGTAGGGGTGTTAGCATTGCTTTGCTTTCATGTCCTTGTAGGGAGTGTGGTTCTCGCTAGAAATGTGAAAATTGAGGAAGAGAAGTTTTTGTTTAAGGGAGGAGGATTTGGTGGTGGTTTTGGCGCTGGTGGAGGTGTTGGAGGTGGATTTGGTGGTGGGGGTGGTGGAGGTTTTGGTGGTGGTGGTGGAGGTGGTATTGGTGGTGGAGCTGGTGGTGGGTTCGGAAAGGGTGGTGGAATAGGTGGTGGAATTGGGGGCGGTGCAGGAGGCGGGGGTGGTATAGGTGGAGGCATTGGTAAAGGTGGTGGTATTGGAGGAGGAGTTGGTGGTGGTGCAGGAGGCGGGGGCGGTATAGGTGGAGGCATTGGTAAAGGTGGTGGTATTGGAGGAGGAGCTGGTGGTGGTGCAGGAGGCGGTATTGGTGGAGGAGCTGGAGGTGGCAAAGGAGGAGGAATTGGTGGTGGCGTTGGTGGTGGTGCAGGAGGCGGGGGTGGTATAGGTGGAGGCATTGGTAAAGGTGGTGGTATTGGAGGAGGAGCTGGTGGTGGTGCAGGAAGCGGTATTGGTGGAGGAGCTGGAGGTGGCAAAGGAGGAGGAGTAGGTGGTGGCGCTGGTGCTGGTGGAGGATATGGAAAAGGTGGTGGCATTAGAGGAGGTGCAGGTGGAGGGAAAGGTGGCGGAGTTGGAGGTGGAGCTGGTGGTGGTGCAGGAGGCGGTATTGGTGGAGGAGCTGGAGGTGGCAAAGGAGGAGGAATTGGCGGTGGCGCTGGTGCAGGTGGAGGAAAAGGTGGCGGCGCTGGTGGTGGAGTTGGAGGGGGAGCTGGTGGAGGTGTAGGAGGAGGAATTGGCAAAGGTGGTGGAATTGGAGGAGGTATCGGAAAGGGTGGAGGTATTGGAGGTGGTGTAGGAGGAGGAATAGGAAAGGGTGGTGGCATTGGTGGAGGAGTCGGCGGTGGTGCTGGAGGTGGAATTGGAAAAGGTGGTGGCATTGGAGGTGGTATAGGCAAAGGTGGCGGCGCTGGTGGAGGAGCTGGAGGTGGAGTAGGCGGCGGAGTCGGTGGTGGTGTTGGAGGTGGAATTGGAAAAGGTGGTGGCATTGGAGGTGGTATTGGCAAAGGTGGTGGTGTTGGTGGCGGCATTGGTGGAGGAGTCGGTGGTGGTGTTGGAGGTGGGATTGGAAAAGGAGGTGGCATTGGAGGTGGTATAGGCAAAGGCGGCGGCATTGGCGGGGGAGCTGGTGGTGGTGTTGGAGGTGGTATTGGCAAAGGTGGCGGCATAGGTGGAGGAATTGGTGGTGGCGTTGGTGGAGGTGCTGGAGGAGGAATTGGCAAGGGTGGTGGCTTTGGCGGAGGAATTGGTGGTGGTGCAGGAGGAGGAGTTGGTGGAGGTGGAGGTGGCGGCATTGGTGGAGGATTTGGCAAGGGTGGCGGTATTGGTGGAGGATTTGGTGGTGGTGCAGGAGGAGGAGCTGGTGGTGGCATTGGAGGAGGTGCTGGAGGTGGATTTGGAGGCGGATTTGGTGGAGGAGGTAGTTTAGGTGGTGGAGCCGGAGGTGGTTTTGGTGGAGGAGGTGGTGGTGGAATTGGAGGATATCACTAAACATCCTCTAGTTAATGAATTAAACACAGAATTAAGCATGTATACCATTGCTATTGTCATTATATTTTCGAAATTATTATTCATGAGTATTATATGAAATGCAATCAAATTTCTTCTCCTATTTTTTAATAATCCGCTTACATGCAACATTCTCTTCCTTTATCATGCACGTACAGCCTCCACCAATGCATGAAACAGAAATACATGTCGCTTGATGTGTAAGAAACACTGGGACCAAAATAAACATTATAAAACAGAAAACTAATTAATAACATAAAATTTCAAGTAGTTCAAATTCTTAGCTAATTGGCACAATATTTCGATGTTCTCTCTTTTCTAGAAGGCAACATATTTATCATTTCATTGAGAGTATCACTACTAAGTTTAAGTGCTGTTCTTTAATGGAGTGATAGGTATAATAAACATTTATAAAAGTTAATGTGAGTTTCATTGTTCATATGTTTTTGCCCTCTATATTTCTTCGCAAAGAAAGCTAAAAACTATGAGGCTTAATTTAGAACTAGAGGGAGGGATATTACTTAAATCTCTTGCATTAATATATGACGTGACGGATATTTCAAGATTGTGAACTCATATAATGGTGCTCCAAAAAGAAGACTTTTTCATTAAAAATACAAACCAACAAAAAATAATTAATATGCACAAGTTGGATTTGACTCTAAACCGTTTCATTCTGAATATTAATTGCCTACGCAATGCACACGTCGAATTAGATCACCAACTCTCTCATCAGTCCAATAAAAAGAGGAATGAGAGTGGCCACAAACTTGGTGTACTCTTCGTCTTGTGACACTTTTCGTGTTTCAAACTGAATTTATAATCTGATGAAAGATACACGAAAAAGAATAAACCAGATTGTCTTGTCGACGGGGGCGGACGCACGTTCAATTGAAGCAGTGTCACAGCGACACCTTTTTATCGGAAATTTTACTAAATATATGTATTAATTGTTAGTAAAATTGTATTTGTAAACTAATTCTGAAAAAGATAGAATAACGTATAAACAGAAAATGTAAACGAAACAAAAGTTAATCTGAGCCCGCTGAATTCACAGTGTTTCCTTAGAGCCTGTTTGGAAAGTCACCTTAGAATTGGATTTGGGTGTAATTGGGTGCAATTACACAGTTTGGCATATTTGTTTGGCCAAGTAATTACTTGGTCAACATGGAATTGGGGGTAATTGGAGGGGCGTAATTACACTCTCCAATTCTCAAGGGGAAGGTGAGAATTGGTGGTAATTACACTGTGTAATTACAAGGTTGCTTTTTAGTTTATTTATTTTTGGTTTTATTTTAATTTATTTTCTTTATAAATTTATTTCTATTATTTTAATATTTTAATTTTATTTTTACTTTTTTATCTCTTTTTTAAATTTTAAATTATATTTTTCTTTGTACATTATTTATCTTTTATTTCTCTACCTTTACTTCTTGTGATTCAATGTACTTGCTTATATTTTACTTTTTATTTATTTTATTATTCTATTTTTTGAAATTACACCTCCTAATATTAGAAATAATGAGTCATTAACAAACTTGGCATATAATGAGTGATGCAATTAAAGTGAAATTTCGTTGTTGAATGTGGTTATAAACTTATTATGTTTTCTAATATTAAGTGATAGTGGAACTTACTATTATTATGTTGGAATTTGACATATGTTAAACTATTTTGTTATAGTTTCTCTCTAAGATGAACTCCCAACCCTTTGCCTATCCCCAAAACCACCTGATATAGTCCATCACTACCCACCATAAAATGATTTGGAAAGTTCAACATCCTTCAAGGACAAATTGATGGAATCAAACCCAATGGATTTTGCTCCTACAATTGAACAAGAGAAAATGCTCTACACTACAAACTCAATGGAAGAAAAGGAGATTGTGCATGATCCAGAAGGTAAAAAGGAAGGAGTCATAAAAATTTTCCTTTCAACGGAGGATAGACAACGTATCTATGAACCGTGAAAATATTCTATCATAATCAAATTAGTAGGGAAACGTATGCTTCATCATTATTTAAAAAGGAAAATTCAAGATCTATGGAATCCTACGGAAGACTTCTCTCTAATTGATCTTGGAGAAGACTATTATATTATCAAATTCAAGAAGAAGGAAAACATGGATAAAGCTATCCACTTAGGTCCATGGTTTATAAATGGCCATTTCTTGTCCATCTCCAGATGGAAATCAAATTTTGTGGCCAAAAATGAAAAATTAACTACCTCCGCTGTATGGATTAGGCTTCCCCAATTGCCAACATAATTTTACGATGGTAAAATCCTAGAAAAATTGGCAATGCAATAGGACGCTTACTGAAAATTGACACATGTACATCAACAACCCTAAGAGGTCGATATGCAAGTATTTGTGTCGAAATTCCTCTGGAAATCCCAGTCCAACCCTACCTCTTTGTTGTACAACATAAGCAATTCATTCAATATGAAGGGGAAGATTTTCTTTGCAAAAATTGTGGTCGTTTTGGTCATACCATGAGGCAGTGCAGTTATATCAAGAAACAAAGCAATGATCCTCTCCATGCAGGACAAGTTCATCAACCTACAACTACATAGGGAGATAATGAAGCAGAATGGATCACTGTTTCATTCAATAAAAGGAAAAATCAAGGTAGAAAATTTCCTTCTCAACCTACCATCAACCAAGTTAAAGGCAACCATGGTCCAGGTATTTCAGTTAAACTTTTCAATGCTAATACAGGTAAATACTTGGACACTCAATTGCTTCAATATAAAACTAAAGATCATCCTACCCCTAATCAACCCTTAAAAGTTACTACCCAGCCTATTATTGCTAAAGAACAAACCAATACTCTAAACAAAAACCACTACGTAGACAATAAGCAAATGGTTTTGCCAAAAACCACCACGGCTAATACTAATTTTCTTAGTAAAAATAAATTTACTCAATTAAGTGATGACTTGGCATTGGAAGGCATTGACACTTGTATGAGTGAATCCATCGTGGCATCAAATGATGCCAACTTTTTAGATACTAACAATGCCATGCAAAATGGCTATTTAACGGACACTTTTAACCCTCCTAATAATCCTACCCCTACTTCTCTAAACCCACCCACCCACCCACCCACCCACCCTAAAACAAAAATCTACCCAAAATCTTGTGTTATCCGAAGGATCTCAACAAGATCCTTCCTTAAGATATGGCAAGATCACTTCCACCATGTATGTTGGCCAAACGGCATCGGACATAGTAAAGGGTAGCCAAATGGCCACACCCTTAGAAAACCTAAAAGAAGCTATTAATGGTCCTATAAATCAAGACATAGAGCACCCAAAAGACACAAATTTGGAAGAAACAATCATTGGTTCTTCCACCAATCGGCTACCCTTTTCTGTTACCCCTTACCCCACGCCTACTAACAGTTCATTAAATACTTTTTACCCCACCCAAAATGCCAAGAGTTCCTTCATCCTTACGAAGGAGGAATCGTCTAATCCAAATTCTACGCCAACAAAGACCCCACAACATGGAAAACATTCCCCCCTTCACCTTCAAGAACAACCCCAGATAATTTATGCCCAACCTCCCTAACCCCAAGACTACCAACCCACTAGTTGGATGGAGCTAGGCCTCATGGGCCATGCAATATCCTTCACAGTTCCAATCAACGGCCAAGAGGCTATAATGACCCTCCACAACACCCAATACCTAGCACAACTCATTACGGAGGGAATGAGGTTGGCCATGAACAACTACCTCTACCAAATTTGGCTCAACAACATTATCCATCCAATGAATCCATCATTGAACCCTCAAATGGCTCAGATAATGAGGGAGCAATGGAGCATGCCACCCCAGTTCAACCCCATAAATCCTCAAAATGCTGCGTTGGACCTTCCCTTCTTTCCCACAGAGATGTATACTCATCTCAATCCCATCTTTCTCCCTTGGTACATCAACCAGGGGAACCAAGAGATACCAGCCCCCCTCCACCCCCTCCAGTACCTCCACAACAACCATCCAAAGTCCGACCCAATACCCGGTCCAGTGGAGGCAGAAATGGAGGAGGACGACGTCCAGCTAAACCTACACTTAGGGCCAACCCTAGAAATCTCAAGCCTAGACGGAATAAAATTTCTCTTCACGGAGAGGCACGAGAAGAGGCATGTGCTCACCTGCCCGTTAGCCCCATACAAGTGCTCGATGGACATCCGTCCTCCATACTACCCAACAGTGGGCAACAACGCGATGATCCTAGTACCTTCGATGAGAAGAAACCTTGTCCTAATGGGAGGGATAAGGGAGAATGGAGTGATGGTCAACCCTGAAGCAAATATACCAATGAATCATCCTACAAATTTCATAATATGGAATATAAGGGGAGGGAATAATAAAAATTTCAGGAGAAACTTTACGGAGATGATTGACACACATAGGCCCTGCATGGTGACACTGTTAGAAATAAGAATGGGTAACCATGCAGCCATGCTTAATGAATTTCGGTTCACTGAGATGATTGAAGTTCCATCGGAGGGTCAGTCAGGAGGCATGGTAATGATGTGGAAGGATGAAGTAATCAACGTTCAAAATGCAGTACGTAGGAATCAAGAGATTCATGCAACCATAGAGGTACTTCCCATACATAAACCTTGGCTTTTTACTTATATATATGCTAGTACTTGTATTCATAATAGAAATATTATGTGGGATCATCTAGAACATATTAGCAACTCTTATAAAGGGCCTTGGTTAGTAGGTGGTGACTTTAATGATATTCTAGCCGCTAGTGAAAAATTTGGTGGCAAACCCATTAAGGATAGTAGAGCTACATTCATATGGTCAAAAATCAATAAGTGTAACTTGCTTTATCTAGGGTTCAAAGGAAGCAAATATACTTGGACAAACAACAGACATAATAAGAAAGGTCTTATACTAGAAAGACTAGATAAAGTTTTTGGAAATGAGGAATGGATTGAACTCTTTCCTAAAAGCTCCATAATCCACTTGCCTAGAACCCACTCTGACCACAACCCTATTCTTATAGAATTGATCCCAAGAAATAGGTCTCTCCATAATATTCCTTTTAGACTAGAAACCTTTTGGTGTAAACATTCGGTTTTCTAGACAATAGTAAGAAATAATTGGAATGATAGTGATTACTTCAAAGCCAGCCTTAATTTTGTGGATAAATTAAAACCTTGGAAAGACAGCACCTTTGGTAACATTATGGGAAGGAAGAGAAAATTGCTAGCTAGACTCCAAGGTATCCAAACCTCCAATAGCTATACTACCAGCTCTTTCCTTCGTAATTTAGAATTAGACCTTAAAAATGAGTTCAATGATATTCTAAAAATAGATGAAGCTTATTGGAAACTTAGGTCTAGAATCCTGTGGCTCAATGATGGAGACACAAATACAAAATTCTTCCATGTCTCAGCCACCAATAGGAAAAGAAGAAACAAAATTAATTTCTTCAAAGATGATGCTGGTAATTGGATAAATGATCATAGCCAAAGTATGTCTCATGTTCAAAACTATTTTACCTCTATATTTACTTCGTCTCACTCACATTCTAGCTGGGCTAACCCCCTAAATCCTCAATTTAGTTGTAACAATATTAACCTAGACAATCTAGATTCCCCTCTTCTAGATTCTGAAATTAAAAGGGCTATTTTCTCGTTCAAACCCTTTAAATCTCCTGGTCCGGATGGTTTGCACCCCTTTTTTTCCANACGGCACTCCGTAGATTTGTGTCCAGCTTTCCCACAGTTGTAGCAATTTCCGTTGAACTGCTTCTTGCTTGGGTTGCTTTTCGGTCCAAAAGCGTGCTTCATCTTTCTCTTTTTTTGAGAAGTATCCTCAACAATATTTGCTCCCATTATTGTTGAGTTTCCACGGCCTCTCTTTTTAGCAGCTTTGTTTTCCTCTTCAATTCTCAACCGAACAATGAGATCTTCAAGCGACGTCTCCTTGCTTTTGTGTTTCAAGTAGCTTTTGAAGTCCTTCCACAAAGGAGACAACTTCTCAATCATTGCTGCTACTTGGAATGCTTCATTGATGACAAGACCTTCAATGAAAATTCTGTCAGTAAAAATACTAAAATTACTACTTTCAACATCAGTATTAATTCGATTTATACCTTCAGCAAGGAGATCGTGAATAATCACTTGCAACTCCTGGACTTAGGTAATAACAGACTTGCTATCTACCATTTTGTAGTCCAAAAACTTAGCGGCAACAAATTTCAACCCGGCATCTTCTGTTTTATGTTTCTTTTCAAGCGCAGTCCACAATTCTTTTGACGTCTCCACGCCACTGTAGACATTATACAGATTGTCCTCCAATCCGCTAAGGATATAATTCTTGCACAGAAAATCAGAATGCTTCCATGCCTCAATCACGAGAAAGCGTTCAGTCTCTGGAGTTTTATCGGGCAGAACAGGAACATCTTCCTTAATGAACTTCTGTAGACTTAAAGTAGTCAGGTAGAAGAACATCTTCTGCTGCCACCGATTGAAATCAATCCCGGAAAACTTTTCGGGTTTTTCCGTCGGTGCCAATGCCGGTGTTCGGCTTGTCGACGCATTGGCAACCACCATCGAAACAACTTGGTTTCCATTATCATTAGTCATTTCTGTAAAATAATGACACAAACAAACGTTAAAATCACGTAAATTTTAATCTCCAACGGGGTAGAAAACCACAAAGGTTTTAATCTCCAGAACAGTAAATATAACACAAATACAGAAAATAATAAAATTCTTTAAGCTTGTTAGTAAATTGTATTTGTAAATTAATTCTGAAAAAGATAGAATAACATATAAACAGAAAATATAAACGAAACAAAAGTTAATCCGAGCCCACTGAATTGATAGTCACTACAAGAAAAATGGCTTTTAGCGAAGGGAAATTCAGTCGTTAAAAGTTCAAATCCAGTCGCAATATGTCAATAACGACCGAACAAAATCTGGTCGTCGCCGGTCGCTAAACGCTCCGTCGTTAAAGGTTAACGACCGGATTAGAATCCAGTCGTTAAATTCCTTTAACGACCAAAATGCTTCCCGTCGTTATTACTATTTAGTGGCCGATGTTCCTTTCGCAAATTGCAAAATTTCCCTTCGCTAATGCACATGTAACCATTTGATAATCCTGTTGTTAAAGACTTTTAAAGATCACATTTCCCTTCGCTGATGTGAAATTTTAATAAATATAATTAGACCAATTTATATTTTCCCTGTAATTATTCAATAATAATCATTACCATATGCTTTCTCACACACATATATACAACAACCACACATTTTAAAATATCTCAAATAATCAAAATTCATACTCAATAAAATTTCATTGTCATTACAAAGAACGGAAGGATCACACTGTCTATAGCATGATACTACTTTTATTAACTCCTAAAAATAGATAGCAGAATTGTAGCACGATGTACAAATGACAACATCTTTAAACCATTGCTAACAGAATAAAAACCATATTATACTTCAACTTGCTTTGCGCATTCTTCAAGAATAGGTTCTTCGGACTTCAAGTTCTTGACTTGATCTGTTAAAAGAAGAAGTCATGTCACATTACTATAAAAAATGTATTCCATCATATCCAAAGATGCAGAAATTCAATTTCAGCAGTTGACTTACTCTGTCAGATCTCATAGTATTAAGGCCAATGAAACCAATTTTCATTAATTTGATTGGTCAGCTCCTCAAGTTGCAACTTTTAGTTGATTGCATCAGCTATATGTACCTTAAGTAAACTATTCCAACCCTGTAGCACACCATGATACCTGTGGTAGACACTAAAAAAGCAATCACGTGAATTTTTTTTGCAAAATATGCATGATGAAGCAATAACATCAAATGTTTGGCAAAAAAAAATACATAATACCTAAAAGAGTCAATTTGTACATCTTGATCATTAAATAATTATAGACGTATTATCATAAGTTGCAGAAGAGAGCTCCTCCTCACTGTTAGCTACAGCATTGCCACGCCCATCACACGCCAGCCTCCTGTTCTTTATCATCAGAGGATAACCAAACAGATATCCCCTGCTCGTTTAGCACTTTCAAGATTATCAATCTGTTTTAAGCATTTGTTTCCATCAGTAGAAAGAAAAATATTGAAAATGTATTAGAAGGGGAAGAAAATTTAGAACAGTAGTTTTATAAGCCTACCTGCATAATCTTGGATGTATAATTGCATGTTGAGAAAAGTGGATCTTCTGAAGATATTTATCCTGTTACAAAGTACAATAATGGAACCAAACAAAGATTGATAATCCTAGGAATAAGAAAATTGAATAGTTAAAAATAAAAAACACTGCAAGCAAAAATTGTTGTTTCATCCAAATTTATAGAATATAAAGACTAACCTAGATTACACGAATAGTAGAGGCTTTAGGTTCAATCCACACCTTGACATTCAAGCTTCTCAAGTGTAGCGACATCAACCCGCTCGATCTCATTCGTTAGAACTCCTCATGTAACTTTAACATTCAAATTAACTTGCAGAATAGTCAAAACAACAAACATATATTTGACCAAAAACAAACTTTTTCCCAAATTCTTTAACGGAGACACTATCATCATAGCTTCTCACCACATAATCACGTACTAATGCACTTGCCGGGCAGTTCTTCATTGAGTCCAAAACAATCACTTTGCATGCTATTTGGGATGCTGTTTGACACAACATACGATCTAGCTTCCCTCCTCCCAAACTATCTATAAGCATATCAGACCCTTCATGGATTGGTGAACCACTGCATTATTCGACATATTCCAGCATGATATTAACATTATTAACCAGAAAATGCAATAAAACATCGCTACAGTCGCATACAGTAATTAACTTTAATTTAAACTACATACAATAATAGCTACACTGCCTTAGTCCGAAACAAGTTCAGGTCGGCTTATGAATCCTTACTAACCATGTTTCTCCAATTAAAATTCATCTAAATGAAACCACATAAACTTTGAACATATATCGATCCTATGAGTGATCGAGTATCAACTGGGGTTACTAAGGCTAATGTTGCAGTTGAAAAACAAGCAGAAATGATTGGTACTGCTGTGCAAAATGAGGAGCAAGAACTGGAAAGTTTTACTTCTTTGGTTCCTTTCTCATCTGTGGATGCTAGGGGTCAGGTTCAGGGCAACAATCTGATAAAACTAGGCATCAAATATTTAATGCAAAGGTAGGGCAGGTGATTCATTTCTCAAGCATGGCTGATGCAGCTAAAGCAGAAAAAACTGCTGATGTTGAAGCTGAGGTTAGTACTAAAGGATATGGGCAAATTTCTAAAGAGGAGCCTGCTCCAGTTGCTAGGGCAAACAGATTGAAAAAGTTGGAAAAGAACCAGTCACTACTGGTTCGAAATTGGTTGATACTGTTGCATTGAATTATTTTGCTGATCGAGCTGTACATAGGAGTGTTAAACCAGCTGCTGCAGTTGAAACAACAACAGGTTTGATAGCCTTTGACTTCCAAGTCAGCACAAAACAACAGCAGATGTCAAAGAAAAAAGGTGGTCGAACAAGTCCCTTTCTGAGAAATAATAACATTCCATTTGGTACAAATCTGGGAAACACACCAAAGGTACTTAGTATCTCTAACTCCTTTGCTGCTTTGGTAAATGAATCTGCTGTAGATGACGTTGGGAAGAGAGTGCAGCATATTGAACTTGAGGCAGCCTCAAAATACTGTCATTCAAAGACACCAGACAATGCAGAAAACCAGCAGCGCCTGAACATTTCTGATTTACCAGATAAAGTGGTAAAAGAGTCTGTCATAGTTGGTGATATCAAGGCAGGGGCAACTTTTGATGCTTTGGTGGTTGAGCATGACCATGATGTGAAGGACGCTGGGAATAAGCTGCAACAGGGGGAAGATGAGGCAACGTTAATCAATGGAAAAACCAACTCCTTAGATAGTAAAATGTAACAGAAAATTTTAACTAAGGAGATTGGTGCTGTTGGACTCACAATGCAGTAGCAATCCAAACATCTTTTGCAGCTTTACATGATGTCCAAATTGAAACAGGTGCTGAATGTGTAGGCCAATCTTCTAATGTCACGACCCGGATTTCCCACCCTCGGGAGTCGTAATGGCGCCTACTCGTGAAAGCTAGGCAAGTCAAGTATTATAAATTCATTACCCTTTTTATTAAGCATGTTCAACAATTCAAAGTAATAAGTTATTAAACATCGGAATAAATTAAATAACCAGAAATGCGGAAGACGGAAACTTAATAGTTTAACCAAACATTGCTACATAATCTGACGTACGATACTACCCAGAATTTAGTGTCACAATTTCACAAACTGTCTAGGAATACTACAAATAAAGGTTTGAAAGATTTAAAACAACACTGTCTCTGGAGTACATGAAAGAAACACAATGAAAGGATAGAAGGAGACGCCAAGGCCTGCGGACGCCTGCAGGACTACCTCGGGTCGCCTGGTGAACTGGAAGCAGTAACCTCACTGCGGTCCGAAAACTACAGTATCGGGATCTGCACAAAAGAGTATAGAGTGTAGTATCAGCACAACCGACCCCATGTGCTGGCAAGTGCCTGGCCTAACCCCGGCGAAGTAGTGACGAGGCTAGGACCAGACTACCAAATAAACCTGTGCAGTTAAAACATATACAACGAAAAATAAAAGCAAATATTTACAGTTAAAGGTGGGGAGGGGAAGGCATGCTACGGGGAGTATTGGGCTACCGATATTCCGATCGTAAT